CATGTCCTAGTAGTTTTAGACAGGCTGCCGATTTAAAACGCCACGCGAGGATTCACACCGGCGAGAGGCCTTACCAGTGCAAAATTTGCCTGAAGAAATTCGTAACATCTGCATACTTGAAAGTTCATTTAAAATATCATCTCGAAGAAAAAAAATACTCGTGTACAGTTTGTTCAAAGAGCTTTGTAACAAACACGCAGCTAAAACTGCACTCAAGAGTACACACCAAAGAGACTCCATATGAATGTGATGTTTGCAAAAGGAAATTCACATCGTTCAGTAGTTTGAATAATCATAAAAGGATACATACCGGAGAGAAGCCATACAAATGTAAGCTTTGCAATGATAAATTTAGTAGATGGAACTATTTGGCAAGCCATATGAGAGTTCATACAGGTGAAAGGCCGTATGCATGTGATGAATGTAATTTTAAATTCACTACACGCAGTAATTTAGTTAGGCACATCAGAAAGCGTCATCCTTCATGAAGTCACAATTTTTAACTTATATGAAATGATTTTGAAAAACTGTGCTGGTCACTAAAGAGAACTTTTTTTTAATAGTTTATAGTAATATATTAATATTTATTTTATCGAAAATGATGTCTTATCAATTTTATATTTTTGTACTTATATTGTAAATTTTTTATAAGCATGTGCAATAATATATATATTAGGGTGGTCCTTAATATGGACATTTTCGAATTTGCTTGCTCCCAAATTGCTTACAAATTGATAAAAGAAAATCCTCTATAAGTTTTCCTCTTAATATTGTCTTATAGATAGTGCGCAATTCAATCAAAGTTTTATATGAAAATAGCATGGGAAAATTTTCAAATAAATTAAAAATGTTTTTTAGATATAACTTAACGAACAAATAAATGAGTTTTAGATGTTCTACGAAACAAATTATAAGAAACCTGCTTTGCAGAGCGTCGAATTTTCAATAAAAGATGACAGGAATTGTCACTTTTATTTAATTATTTGTCGCTAAGTTATACCTCAAAAACATTTTTAAAATTTTCGAAATTTTGTCCATGCTATTTCCATACGAAGCTTTGATTGAATTGCGCACTATCTAAAAGTTAATATTAAGAGCTAAAACTTTTAAAGAATTTTATTTATCAATTTCGAAGCCCCTGGGAGCAATAAAATTCGAAAATGTCCATATTAAGGACAACCCTAATATATATATATATATATATAGTTTTAAAGCTTTTAAAATATATATACATAGTATCTCAGAACTCAACGTCAAGCTGTGAAATTTTTATTGATTTTGTTCATTTAAGCATTGGGTCCATGATTGTATAAAACACTTACCGGATTACAATAAAAAATTATGAGATAATTGACCCAACTTTGAAAAAATAATACTTTTTTTTTAAATTTTGAATTTAATAGTTTAATTTTAACTTTGAAAATTTTAAATTTATAGTTCAAGAGAAAGGATTAATTCTAGAAAACTTTGGTCAATTGTGTCATTATTTTTGCCTGGGGTTTTGGAAATATTTTTTGTTGATTACGGATCCAAAGTTTAAATAAGCAAAATTATTAAAAATTAATAACAGTAACCAAAATCAGTCACATTTTTACCAAAGCCTCAAGTTGCACTTGCAAGGTCATCATTTTAAAACATAGATAATTGTTTTACAACTATAGACATTGAATTCTGGGACACCCTATATATATTTTATTTCATAATTTTAAAAAATAGATAATTATTTTATATTTATAGACGTTGAATTCTGGAACACCCTATATATATTTTATTTAATTTAATTTATTTATTTACTCGTACTTATTGTGATATTATTTATATAATGGTGCAATTGAATTACATATGCATGCTTTTAAAAATATTTTTTATTTATTTCTAGAGACCGAATCTGCCGCATAACAGACAAATGTTATGGCAAGGCCATGTTACGGTCCAAGTTCCATACATTACTGAATCATATTGAATACTGTCAAAATGTGGTGTATTTGCTGTGCATTCAGGTGTTTTACACATAAACTGCAACGTCACTCGTATGTTATGAAGGTGGGTCAGAAAGACCTTGTTATGTAAGGTAGTTTTTGTGATATTTATGCGGTTTCTACGTTAGGTTTGCCTGACTGCACAGCAACCACATGACTTTTGACAATTTTTGTATGGAAAGTTCTTCATAACATAGCCTCGCCATAACATTTGTCTGTTATGCGGCAGATTCGGTCTCCTAGTATTTTTAATTTAGTTCGACTTTAGCTATTAAATAGCTTAAAAGGTTTTGGAGTGAAATGAAATTTTATCTATTTATTTATTTATATATTTTTTGCATTGTAATATTATTGGACATTAAACACATTTTAATTTTTTTATTCGGCGTTAGTCAGCCAAAGAGTCGAAATAAAAAACATTAAATAATTACATAACTTGTACGTTTCGACGCTGTTTGTGTGCCATCATTCAGCACGTTAAACAAATTCTAAAAAAAATTATCAAGATTAAATAAAAAATTATAAATATACTACCAAAAAATATTTTTCAAAGTTTATAGAAAGAACAAGATTACTAGTAAATGTAACAAATAATACCAGATCAGGACAAAAACGCAACACACACCCATTTACAATGTATCAATCACACTGTGAATATATGTTAAAAATTAATTACAAATTTTGATATATTAATTCATTTATTTCCAGTGGAAAATCCATCAAGTGATATTTCTTATCCAAGCTTAAATCAGCAAGAATCGAAATGGAATTTTCAAAATGATTTTTGTGAACAAAGTTTTTCTTCGAATTTGGACCGAAGTAAAACAAGATATAATATTGATGTTCCAGATATCGATTACAAATCGGAAGAAATTGATGTGTTTTCTTTTAATTCTGTTTTCGATTGTGCATTTTGTGGAGAAAATTTCTCATCATCGAATGTATCATCTTTTTTATCACATATTTGCGGTGAATACAACAATTTATTCGAAGAACAAGTCAAAGACTCGAGTTCCTTGGATGATAAATGTTTGCAAGACCCTTTGCCTTCGTTTGCACTCACTTTTAAAAATTCATATTCATATCAAAGTGAATTTAATTATTTGAATCAAGAAATTTGTGATGATAAACAATTAACAAATGATATTAAATTAGAGTTGAACTCAGACAATGCCAAACAAAATAACAATTCAAAAGAACTGCAAGAAATAGAATGCTCTACACTAAATAACAATATTTGTAACGACCAAGAAGATGTTAAAATATTTTCAGAAAATGTTCGTCCAAATTCAGTCAATGAAGAAAAAAATCGTAAACAAATATACGAATGCAAAGTTTGCTTTAAACAATACCATTGGAAGATGCATTTAGCCAGGCATAAAAAAACGCACGCAGAAGATAAACCTTTGAAATGTGAAATTTGCTTCAAAAAATTTAAGAGTCCTCTTTTTTTTCAAAGGCACATTGATACGCACCTGGGATGAGCCATATTTGTGTGAATTTTGTTGAAAGAAAAATATATATTCATACGAGGTGTGGTATGAATGAGAGAGATTATTTGTTGAATGAGTTTTGATAATATGTGTATTTATACCAATAAGTATTTTATCCTACTATCACATAATACATATCTCATAATATGAATTTTTTAGATTTTTTTGTTTGATGCTGAAACATATTCTTGAAATCTTTATTTGCAGCCAAATAGTCGAAATAAAATGCAATAAGTCCAGTAATTATATTAAGTTCACCCCGGAATTCGAGATACCCAGCTGTAAGTCTGTAAATACTTGTATTTTGCACCCTAAAAGTTGTCTCAAAACCTACATATGTTGCGTACACTCTACGTAACCCTACCCTATATTTATTTATCTATGACCCTACCATATGTAGGTTTTGAGACAACTTTTAAGGTGCAAAATACAAGTATTCATAGACTTACATCTAGGTATATCGAATTCTGAGATTCTTACCTAATTTAAGCTTAAATGACTGGACTATTAACTATTTATTTATTAGATACGTTTCGACACTGTATGTGTGTCGCGAATGCAAAGCAAAATAAACACCATGCCATATAGAGACGAGAGGGTTCACAAATGCTGATCCTGGATCGGAAAAATGGCGAAATCGGGGTGAGAAAGAACAAACAAAAGTAAAACACAATAAATCAAAAACAACCAAAATTGACGATAACAAATTGGAAGATTTTTTTTAAATTGGTAATATTATGTTAAGTATCATGTGCTACAATGGCAGTATTACGTTTATTTACACAAAGAAGATTTGAAATGATAAAAACAAATTCAGCAAATTTTCGAAATAATAGGATTCTGTAAGATATATATTAATATTAATTATGTTTATATATCTTCACGTTTTATAGATTTTTGAACATTTTTGCATATGTTAGAAAAAATTGATGTAAGTGTGTGTGTGTTTGTGTGCGGATACAAATTTTCGACGATTTTTTGAACACGGATCAACCGATTTGAATAATTTAAAAAACATTCGATTCCTCTTGATGAGAAGACGTGCTAATTAGTTTTTGGCGAAGGCAGGTCTAACCGTTCCAAAGATACGGGACAAAAGTGCCGAAAACGGTAACTTAGTTTTTAAGAGAACGATTTTAATAATTCAAAAAACAATTTACTTGTATTGACAAGATGAAGGATTGATTGAAATTTTGGGAAGGCAGGTCCAACGGTTAAGGACTCTCAATAAAAATAAGTTAAAAAAATGTCATTTGGACATATGTTCATCAAATTATCAGATATTTTATAGAGATTTTAATAATGTGTACACATTTTGTGTATTTTTTTTGGGTTCCGTACCAAGATTTTTAATTACGATATGGGAAATTACAGCAATTTGCCTTAAGGCACCCCACTAGTTCATATTTATATTTTTCAGCTGGTGTGAATGGGGCCTAATGCGCTTTTTCATAACAGCGTCAAGTGTGCCAGCGGCCTTAACCTTGAACCATAACCTCAAATTCATTTTAACTTTGACGTACACGAGGGTGTAGTTCTAATATAATAATGGAAGAATATAATCGTGAACCGTGCCCATGGAGAATCGTAGACGATTGCGGAGGGGCCTTTGCAATGGGTTGCATAGGCGGCGGAGTCTTTCAGTTCATAAAAGGTTTCCGAAATGCACCGTCAGGTATCAACAGAAGACTCCTGGGAAGTTTATCTGCCATCAAGACTAGGTCTCCAATTATAGCTGGTAACTTCGCCGTTTGGGGTGGTATGTTTAGTACGATAGACTGCACATTAGTGAAAATACGTCAAAAAAGAAGACCCGTGGAATTCTATTATCAGTGGTGCTGCTACTGGGGGCATCCTGGCCGCTAGAAATGGTGTCGCAGCCATGGCAGGCAGTGCAGTTATTGGTGGCGTTTTGCTTGCTCTGATCGAAGGAGTTGGTATATTGTTGACAAGATTCTCGGCAGAACAGTTTAAACAGTCAAATCCTATAATGGAAGATCCTTCAGTTTTAATCAAAATAATAATGTACAGTATCAGTAGGAGTGTTATGTGCAAATACCTAAATTTGTGTATATAAAATATATATAGTATAGATTAATG